AGCAGTAGTAGAAGTAGTAGTAGCAGTAACAGTAGTAGGAGTAGCAGTAGCAGTAGCAGTAGCAGTAGCAGTAGCAGTAGCAGTAATAGTAGTAGTAGTAGTAGTAGTAGTAGTAGTAGTAGTAGTAACCGCGGTAGCAGTAGCAGTACCAACAGCAGTACCAGTAGTAGTAGTAGTAGTAGTAGTAGTAGTAGTAATAATAATAATAATAGAAAGTAGCAGTAGCAGCAGCAGTAGCAGCAGCAGTATCGGCAGCAGCAGTATCGGCAGCAGCAGTATCGGCAGCAGCAGCAGCAGCAGTAGCAGCAGCACGGCGCTAGAGGTAGCAAGAGCAACGGCATCACCAGCACCACCAGCACCAGCGCTGGCACCACTTTTGCAGCTATCACCTTTCTTGCAGCCGAGTTTCAGAAAATGAGGACTCTAACATAATACGATGATCCTGAATATCAGGCCTCCCCATTCAAGCACCCGCAGTGCTGAGAAACCCATAATGAAACGCACGACTTACTTCTGAAAGCATCGCAAACGCCTCATAAACACCATATACAACCCCTTTGCACTCCTCCTGAAACCCTGCAACAGCCGTATAAGCCCAATAAAAGCCGTATAAAAACCTATCAAAGCTTTTTAAGCAGTACAAAGCCATCCAAAACCCCGTAAAAAGCCAGACAAGGCCCCCTTTGCCGGAGAGCGGCAGACATAAATTCATTCGGTCCCACGAGCCATGTCGCCGACACGAAGAACGGTACGCCTTCTGTAGCATGGCCAGGGACCACTCCTCGGGCCGGGCCGGTTCGGGGGTTTGGGGTTTTAGGGTTTAGGGGTTTAGGGGTTTAGGGGTTTAGGGGTTTAGGGGTTTAGGAGTTTTAGGAGTTATGGGGTTTAGGGGTTTAGGGTATGGCCAACATCTAAACAAGGTTTTGGGCTGCGTTCTCCAGGATTTCGGAAGTTCGAGTTCAGGAATTTTGGGGGTCTAGGGCCGACTCTCCAGGGTGCAGGGTTTAGGACTAGGAGTTTAGGGTTTAGGGCTTCTAGGGTCTAGGGTTTTTAGGGTTTAGGGTTTAGGGTTTAGGGTTTAGGGTTTAGGGTTTAGAGTTTAGGGCTGGGTCAAACCCTGAAACTAAAACCCACAAGAACAAACACAAAAAAGATGTTGAAACCGGCTATTGAGGTAGCTTCAGCCCTAGGGTTAGCGCGGTTAGGGTTTAGGCTTCGAGGTTGAGGGCTCAAGATTTAGTGTTCAGGTGTTCAGGGCTGAGGGTTTCAGACTCAACACCTCCGCAATTGACTCCGCAGTCCACCAAAACATACAGGATCCTAAGGGGAGGCCTTACAGAAGCTTACGGGAATCTTCGTGAGTTTTAGGGAGAGTTCGGAATAACAAGGCCAGATGTCCCTCTTGGACCATAAATAGATAACGAACTGAGCCCCGCACTCTGCAGTTGGCCGGTTTTTGGTTTCTCATGATGTAGAGCAGCTCCTCACCGTCTGCTCGGAACTTCACCCAATCTTGGGCACTGTACCTTGCCAGGGGAATGGGGCTCTGGCTTTATGCAGTACGTCATAGTACACTTACTTTCAGTATCCTGTAGTATAATATCGTATAGTGAACGCATTGTCTAGTCTAGCGGATCACAGCAGATTTCCTGTTGTTGATATTGGAAGTGGACCATGAAAAGAGCTTGGGAGACAAGTGCCAAGAACGAAGGCCCTGCCCAGCAAGCTTGCCGTGCTCGCGGACAGAGGGCGGAAACTGCGAAAAACGTCGTGGTGAAAAAGCGGGCCCAAGTGCACAGATGCTCTCACGCCGAGAGTACACTTGCATGACCGGCATGACCCGCGGCGACCACAGTGTCACAGCGAGCCTCCAAACCCCACAATTTCTACTAGTTACTACAGTTTCTGCGCATGAATGAAGGTCGAACGAAATGGAACACCAGAGTAGTTTAGAGCTCGGGAGGCGTGCACATGAGAAGAGCTCTAGAATGAGGCAGGGATGAGCCCTCACCCTGACCACCCCCAAACAGAACAACGGCCGAAGACATGCATGACTTGCAGGATTGTGATAAGAGGTCTGACACAACCGTACTCAGACTTTCCACATGATGGTGACAAGGCAAGGTGCAGCCCCACGCCACGGAAGTTTTAATAAATAGAGAACTCCAGACCGCAGCATCCTTCTTACGAACAGCCCGCAAGCTAGAAACCCCCAACTCGCCTCACCACGCCGCTCTCAGGGCGATAGAGGCCACGTTTGGTTTTCACCAGCTCCTGGCCCCAAACCCGAAACACTGTGAAACTGATCCCGTGTCCTGAGACCCCAAGCCCCTTCGAGCTTCACCAAAGCCTGAACATGCCAAGCTCTGGTCAGCGCATGCGCGTGTGTGTGTGTGTGTGTGTGTGCGCTTGCATGCGTGCACGGGGAAAAATACAAATGCCAGTCGGCGACTCCTCGGCGACGGGAACCTCGACGATGGCCCGATCGACCGGCCGAAGGTCACCGCTTTTCCATCGCGGCCAACCTCGGTACACGGGCGAAAGGCCAGCGATAATTAGATACATGATGATATATGTGTATGTAAATGTATATATACACACAAAGTATGCAAAGGAGAGAGAGAGAGAGAAAGAAACAGAAGCATATCCTTTCCGAAGTGGTACTATGTCCTATGGTGCACTCGCGATATACATCGCTCTCTACCCTTTCAGATGACACCGTCAGGTAGGAATACCTGCACAGTCATACACATGCCGATCTACTTGAAATTGGTCTGTGTCAAAACAGCGCTCGTATGTCAGACAAGCTCCTGCTGGAGGATAATGCACTCTCAGTATTCGACCGTGCGCAGGACAGCTATCGGCCTTAAGGGAATTGCCTGCGCAAGAGCAGCGCATCTTCTCCGAGCTCTAAACCCCAAGCCCTAAGCCTGAGAAAGATTGGCGACCCAGAGAGCGAAACAACATGCAATCCATCAGTGAGGAAGTGTGCAAGGTTGCCTAACTGTGCCCTCCTGAGCCCTTTCATTCCAGGCCGCGCGGTCGAAAGGGCTGGTTCGGCTCATCATCCGCCTCGGGCAGATGTCAGTCGCAGGGTCAGCAGGGCCTTAAGCCCATCAAGTCTAGGGCTTTTCGTCTCGGGGTTTAAAAATCCTGGAACCTCGACCACAACATCCGGTCGATGATGATGCTAGCAAGTCACGAAGGCAGAAGAGCCAGAGTGTTGTTGAAACACGTATACAGACCACACCAACAAAAAAAAACATAGCAAACAGCAAAAACACCACCACCATTAGCACACCATGCTAGTGCAATAGTTGCTCACCATCATCATCATCATCAACATCATCATCACCATCATAAGCATCATCACCAACATCATCATCAGCATCTTCATCACCACCATCAATGGATGATGGTGACGATGACGACGATGACAATGACGATGACGGTGAGGATGATGACGATGATGATGGAGCTCCTGAACTCCCAGCAATTGGAGGTCCTGTGGTCGAAGCAAAAACTCTGACCAGTCTTTGAGCTTCCTTGCGTTGCTGGGTCTTTTCGGTTTCGAAGCTCCCGGAACTTAGGGTTTGGAAGGCTTAAACTTCAAGAATGGGGAATCGCCCGAAGAGTTTTGCAGCCTAGAACTCACCAGAAGAAGTTAGGGAGCACGCCCGAAGCCCTGACCCACAAACCTTCTGACTGAAGCTGACTTGCCCAGCTGGCTCCTCTTGCACAACATCGACTTGACAAGAACTTCAACAACTCCTCCTATCGCCCTAAAGCCTCAACACGAAACCCTAAACCCTAAACCCTAAAGCCTCAACCCGAAACCCCTGTCCGAGGCACAGCTACATCCGTACCCAGTGCTGAGCCAGGCCTTTCGATGCGCAGCGCGTGTAGTGAGGAGCAGAAGTGGGGGATGTAGTCAGGGGCGACAGGTGCGTCATATCCTTCCTTACTGTTGGTTTTATATATACATAGGCAGATATGACTGTGCATACATGAAGCTCCAAGGAGTTGCTGGATATTTGCCCGTTGTGTTGGAGTGCATGCTCGAAAGTCCTGCTTTGTCCCAGAAGCATCAAGCGCTTTGCATGGCAAGCTGGCCGATTCTAACTCTAACAATTTCGGAAGGCCTTTCGGCGACGGCCCCATTGCTCCAGTATGGCATGAGACAAGGCAGAGGCACTTCAACATGTAAACGCTGGATGTCACAAAACGAGACTGACCTGCCAGTGTCTCAGGTATCCCTCTTTGAGTCTAGAGCTGGGAAGCAGAGTGCTGTAGTGGCTCTACGTGCTCGCAAATCACAATGGTAAAGGAACCCATGAGGGCCATGAATCAGCTTGGGCAAAGAGCAATGTAATGCGGGGCGGCAGCCTCAACTCCGTCAACAAGAACTGGGCCCAGTAAGTAGGCTTTGAGTGTTGCACCACAAGCTCGACTACTCCTGCTTGTTCGACGTTGCATGCGGTGCTTCTGCAAGAGCTGCCGCTGCTGCTGTGTCCTTTCTTTTCAGATGGCTCAGAGCCAGTACAGGTATGTACAGGTACTGCCAGCAACCGTGCCGCTTGCTCTGAACATTTCGCTCAGAAGAGCGTCGATCTTGGGAGCGAGGTCGTGTCGTGGATTGCGTCGGGCACATTTCCGGTTTGGTCTCCTTGGTCCAGTTGTCGACGAGCCGATCGCATGCTTGGCAGCGACGATGTCCGAAGTCACGGACAAGGAACGACATGGGAGTTGTAGACCCGGAAAAGTCTGCAACCTCATGCAGAGCAGAAGCGGCTCCGAGGCGAGAGGAGCCTGTTCGTCATTGGTCGGTGGTGCTCTGGAAACCCACGCGCGGAAGAGTAGGAGCTGTGCCACCCAGCCCTCAAGGTGATCCATCCTGTGCCCTGGCTCAGGCAGCGCCGGCCACGTCAAGTTGTGGGCAGCCCGACTGGTCGTCATCCGACAGGCCGCAGGGTCCTTCCACGAGCTCCTGAGCATGAGATTGAAGGGTCTCGAATCTTTCTGTATCCTCTCCTTACTGGTACTTCTGATCTCTTCGCAGATCTTCGCAGACTTCCTGCCTCCGACATGTCGCAGCGCGACTGCTTGCTTCTCAACTCCAGCAATGCCTCTGGCTGAAGGAATGTCTGCTCTTGCCACTGGATAGCCTCAGAATCCACATCAACACCAAGCTGCTGCGAAGCACACGAGTCCCCACATCCAGACTCGTAATGTAACCGAAGAACTAGACTCTGAGAACACACGATCGGCTAAGACCGGGGCGAGCTGAATCGAGGCGTACTCCGAAGCCAGCATCGCTTTCCTCCCAGCTTAGGCAAAAACGTCTTTCCAAACAGCTTTCGGCTCTGACTTAAAGCAGCACTCCCGAAAACCCAGCTGCATCCATGTGGAACCCCAATATATGAAAATGAATCCAAACAAGCAAGCATGCGGGCAAGATGCAGAACATTCTGGAGCGTGGAATTCTTGCACAAATCCGTTCGGTGTCCCCGCCGGAAGTTGTAGCGCTTGAAGATCATTTTCCCTGGAAACGGCTCCGTCGCACCTAGCCAGGTGGCCACCCGGCCATAAGTCTGCCCAGGCTTCTTTCTCAAGGATGCCTGGTGGACGATGAAGAGCCGCTCGTGGCCCAAGAGTTTGATCAGCTCCTCCAGGTGGGGTCCGAAGGCCTGGGCCTTGGCCCACATGCGCCTGACCCCGATCAGCGCCCGGGTGCTTGGGTCGCAGTCCTTTCGGTGGTTCAGGTGCCTTGGGACTGCATCGAAGCGCCGGACGGCCTCATCGAAGTTCTCGTGGCAGTAGTGCTGGTACATGAAGAGCTTCTCCAAACGTCGCAGAGGATCGCAAACCACCACGATCATCTTCACCTTCTTCATGAGGTAGAGGGCATAGTAGGACAAAGGGTAGGTTGCGATTCCGGGGTTGTTCAGGCCGAGCAGCTGGGTGTCGTGGCCTTTGCCACTGTAGCTCTTGCGGTGTGTTTCAAGCAGCTTCTTAGTTGGTACGAATTTAGACATCTGGCCCTGGCTAAACAAAGAGTAGTCTTCGTTGGACTTCCCACTGGTGAAGTCCAAGGAAGGGTGCTGGTACAGGTTGTTCAGGACCGATTGGGTGCCACAGCGGGCGTTCCCGGCGACCACGAAGTCCAAGGAAACGTATTTCCAGCTCGACAGCTCATCGGCCGACACTTCCTCGTTTGCTGGAGGCTCGGGCAGCTGCAAATTGCAGAAGTTCCCCAGGAGCCTCTCCATGGCGAGAGGGGCGATCTCAAAGTCCTCACAGACCGCCGGACCGCAGAAGATGCCATAGAGGATCTCTCCGATGGAATCATTCGGGTCACCCATGCAATCGTAGAGCCCCCGGGCCAGAGACGCATTGCTCCCCCGAAGTCTCTCCACAAAGGCCGCCAGGTGGAAACCGACTTCCCACGACCGCCCGCCGGCCACGAGGCAGCATTCCTGAGACAGCGTGGATATTGGAATCTCTTGATTTCAACAGTCGAACAAAAAACGGTTGGCGAACTCTGCGTCACCGTCCTTACCTTTTCCAGCATCGCCCTTCGAAAAGCAATCCTTAAGAGGCTGGGAGAGGCTGCTTTGCCCTCCTGAACTCACCGAGCCCTTCGCCTTCGATCCGAGCCTCCGGATAAAAAAGACTGCCTTAAAGCCACAGACATGGCAGCATAGTGGGTGACACAAGGGCATCGAATTCCCAGGAGTCCGTGCTGCACTTTCTGGGCTTGCATGTTGCAGTGTTGCCTGACGTGCTTGGGTCCGGGTGTAGCTTATGGGGTCTGGGGCTGTGCGGCTCGTAAAACCCAAAGGCCCCCCGGTCGAATCAGAGCACAAAAACCCCGCCGGTCAGGACCGCTGGGCCTTGCCTCCACAATGCAGTAGCATCAGTCTCTCATTGACCTACCCC